CTCCTCTTCCTTTCTGGCGTCTTCTCTGGCTAGCCTTTCCTCCTCTTTCTTGCGGGCTTCTTCTCTGGCGAGCCTTTCCTCTTCCATTCTGGCGGCTTCTTCTCTAGCTAGCCTTCCCTCTTCTTCCTTGCGCGCCGCTTCTTCTCTGGCGAGCCTTTCCTCCTCTTCTTTTCTGGCGGCTTCTTCTCTAGCTAGCCTCTCCTCCTCTTCTTTGAGCGCTTCTTCTTCTCTGGCGAACCTTTCCTCCTCTTCTTTTCTGGCTGCTTCTTCTCTAGCTAGCCTTTCCTCTTCTTTCACCGCTTCTTCTTCTCTGGCGAGCCTTTCCTCCTCTTCCATTCGGGCGGCTTCTTCTATAGCTAGCCTTTCCTCGGCTTTTTCGCTAGCTAGCCTCTCCTCCTCTTCCTTGGGCGCTGCTTCTTCTCTGGCGAGCCTTTCCTCCTCTTCCTTTCGGGCGAGCCTTTCCTCCTCTTCCTTTCTCGCTGCTTCTTCTCTGGCGAGCCTTTCCTCCTCTTCCTTTCGGGCGAGCCTTTCCTCCTCTTCCTTTCTCGCTGCTTCTTCTCTGGCGAGCCTTTCCTCCTCTTCCTTTCTGGCAGCTTCTTCAGCTACCCTTTCCTCCTCTTCCTTTCTCGCGGCTTCTTCTCTGGCGAGTCGTTCCTCTTCCATTCTGGCGGCTGCTTCTCTCGCTACCCTTTCCTCCTCTTCCTTTCTGGCAGCTTCTTCTCTCGCGAGCCTTTCCTCCTCTTCCTTTCTGGCGGCGTCTTTTTCTTCTATTGCTAGCCGCTCCTCCTGTTCTCTTTTGGCAGCCTCTTGCCGTTGGCCAGCTATTGCAGCATCTTTGGCTGCGAAGCTGTCCTGAAACAATTCAAGGGCTAATCCACTATTCTGCTCTTGAAGGAGTGTGTCTCAAGATGGGCACGAAACACTACGCACAACTTAACTTATAATGTATGTTTTTCATGCGCATGTGGCATGGGACGTCTTGAGACCAATCCAAAAAACCCTCAGCAAGCATTGCCACGAACCCAAATCCCATGCCTGACACGGTCGTTCGACCCTCTCGCCCTGGCCGCCTCGCTTCTCGCCGGTTGACGGCCGGGTGGATTGAAACGGCCTTGACCTCAAAATGCGACTCAAAGGGCGAATCGTCCTGCACTAAGTGAGAGACCGTCGGACGCTACGAACGTAGCTACATAGCTCCTGGCCATAGTAACAAGAAGCTACTAGAAACAAAGGGCATCGCCGCTACTAGTAGCAAGATGCTACAAGTAAGTTACAAGTAGCATTACTACAGAGACTCCCCTGAAAGAAGGATTCACCTCACAGTGAGGATCAACTGAATCAGCTGATCTGCTAATTGGCGATTGGTGATTTCTTGGATGTTTTTTCTCTTCATTCTGCACCAACCAATCTTCCTCATCTTGCAGCTTGAGCTGCTTCCTGGTGACAAGAAGTCCTCACCAAAGGCATAGCTGCGTTCGAGGTCGTCCGCTTCTTCAGGCGCCTCAGAGATACAACGGACATTTCCACGGTGAGGATGCGAACGACCTCGCG